TTCAGACCCTAGTCTAGGAAATGTTAGTGTTTTCCCCTTCTCATTTTCAAATATGCTGAGACATTCAAAGAATAATATTCAGTCATCTGTATATGGACCTCTCACAGTCAACACTGTTATGATTTTGCTTTATTTTTGTGTAAATATATGTGAAAGTAAATTATGGACATTACAGCGTTTGACTACTACAGTGTTCAGCATTCATCTGTTAAGAATAAAAACTTCCTATTATAACCCCTATACTATTCTCATACCTAAGAAAATAATTCCAAAATATCAACTCATAGCCAGCTCAGATTCAAATTTTCCCAGTTGTTCCAAAAATGTCTTTTAGATCTTGCTTTTATTCTTTTAGAAAGCAAGATTTAATTAAAGTTTATATATTTATTATTGTCTCCCCCTTTAGTCTTTTTCTAGCAAAGTCATTCTACTTTTTTCATAGAGTGACTTTTTTATCAAATCAGGCAAATATAAATCTGGTTGCTTTTTCTCTGAATGTGTGTGATATTTCTGGCTTGTTCCTTTACCTTCATGTTACCTACTGGAGGTTAGGTGTAAAGGCTTGAGTAGACTCAGGTCAAACATTCTAGGCAAGAACACTTCAAGGGTGACACTGTACACTATATCACATGAGTGTAGGCAATGATATTGGCTGAGCTTGATCACGTGATCTGGTAGGTTCTCATCATTTTGATCCTGTCACCTGTCACTGTCACCAAGTCATTTATACGTGCTACATCTCAGATTTAAGAGCCTTCACATCTGTGCTAAAGTCTGCTCAAAATCCCAAGTTATCTCCCTTTCTGATCACTTCTGGTACCTCTTCCTTGTCCATTTCTTGTTTTCTTCCCTCTCTTAATTATTCATCTCTCCTTCTGCTCTATAAGCTTAGTTTTCTAAACCAATCATCCGTTTTCCTCTCTCATCCAAACAGTTCTGAAACTGAACTCTATGAAGGTTACCTGAATTTAAATGCATTAATAACAGTTTATCTTGAGGTTTTCAATCCCAAGTTTACCACCTAATTATTAGAATGTTTACTGCCTTATAATAAGAATGTACCACGAGGGGGGGGGGGAACAACTCTTTTTTTTTAAGGCATAAACAGTCTTTATTGGGCTCAGACCAGGAGTCCATGAGTCTTGAGGGCCTCTGTGTATTTACCAATTTTCTTCTCCACATTCTTTTTGGCCTGTTTCTGTAGCCTCATGAGTTGTTTCTTTATCTGGTAGTGCATCTTGGCTTTCTCCTTCCTCCTCTCCTCCAGGGTGGCCATCACTGTCTGGTACTTCCAGCCGACCTTGTGAGCCAGGCGCCCCAGGTAGGCAAACTTCCTTGTAGGCTTCAGTCGTACGACCTTGAGAGCAGCAGGCACCACCATCCACTTTTTCTTATCATAGGGTGGAGGGATCCAGTCAACACCTTGAGGCGGTCCAGAGCAGCCTGGCCCCGCTTGGTCTTGTGGGGTGGCAAGCCTCGTACAGTCTGCCAGAAGATGCAGCTGGGGGCCCGGAAGTGGTAGGGGCCACGGGATGGATTTGTGTTCATTCACTTGTGGAGGAAGGCCAGGTACTTTAATTTGTTTCTGTAAAAATGGCCAGAAATGTTGATGCCTTCACAGCGCACAACCACCACCTTGCGGCCCAGCAGCACCTGCTTGGCCATGATGGCTGCCAGGAGATGGACTTGGCCATCGAGCACCAGGACCTGCCCCATCGAGCACCAGGACCTGCCCCTCCGCCATTTTCGGCAGCCGCCTGGGAAAAAAGGACTGTTTCTATCAAATTTATTTTGTATATGACCTCACAGAGCAATATATAAATATAGGTGTTTATTGGAAATATTGCATTAAAAGTCTTATTGGTTGAAACCTGCAACAAAAAAAGTGTGTGTCCACTGAGCAAAGCAACAGATAGAAAGTATGCAGCTGTTTCTCTTTTTTGGGGGAAGGTGGGATGTAGGCGGTACCATTCATTTAAAATCCACCTATAATGCCCAACTGTAATTATGCTTGCAAGTCAACCTTAACAACAAAGCACAATTTAAAAAAAAAAAAAAAAAAACATGTTTGTAGGCTACATCTAAATACCATGGACTATTTGCCAATAATTTTTTTTCTTCTTTAAATGCTTGGATCATCATTATTTTACAAATTAAATGGGCATCTAGCAGCATTTCTTATGAATAGAAAGTAGAGTACACATATGCTGAGAATGCCTTCTGAAAACAGGTCTTACTCTGAAGCTGTGTGTTAGTGACTACACATGCAAAATGAATTAAGAATTGAGATCACTGTCTGGATCATTTAGACCGAAAGTCACAAAAGTCAGAGAAGCATCCAGATAAGGCAAAAATCCTGAACTAAGTCTGAATTAGTTGGGTAACTCCAAGAATTATCAATTCATTTTTATTGTGTAGTCCGGTTTAGGCTTACAATTAATCATTTGTTTTGATCTTTTCTAGTTAGCAATCATCTGCCTAATGTTATACAACAATAACAAGTTTGGTATGCCTCATTTTCATGCTTTTTATCATCTGTGTTCCAACTTGGAAACTGGGGAGAAAGGTACTGGGCACACAATTTTAAAAGGATCTGCTTTTTTCCTTTCTCCATGACCAGCCTAAGTTGGAATGACTAAACAATGCAAATAGCACCAAATTTGCCCTCCTTCTCCAAGGCTAGTCTGGGGCAAAAATGTGAAGTATGTGAAATTCATCTGCAGCCCCACTGCTCCTATCAAAACTTGCCCTTAGCACAAAAGTTCAGTCTTCACTTATAAGTACAAGTTAAATTGATGATGTTGCTTCCCCTAAAAGCTTTTGCAATACTGAACTCCAATTAAGGAATCAAATGCTATGTCAGGTCCCTGCATTTCAGGTATTCACAGGCAATAAAGATGTTTGGGGAAACAAGGCTTTCCTAGTTTTATTGAAATTACGTGATAGAAGCAATTATTTACTGTGACTACTTTAAAATTTGACTATACCTCTATCAGTGTTCCTTAATATTTGCATAGTCTTATCATATCTGCAAAACAGGGCTCACATTAATTATCTAGCTTCATCTTAACAAAGTCCCAAGAGCTCTACATTCTGGTGTCCACCTTGCAGAGAAACCTGGTCTCCTGCTACCAGGTGCTAGGCCCATGGCTCTAACCAAGATTCTAAAATTCCATATCCACGCTCTTTCCACTGCCACATGTTACTTTCCTTCCTACACTTTTCACTGTCCTAGAAAAATGTAATAATTCTACCATTGATTTGTGAGTACTGAAAAGTGTTTCCCAGGTTTCTTCCTTCCTTTTTTTTTTTTTCTTTTTTGCTATAGGGTGAGTATGCTCATCAGAGAGACAGACAGAAAGTAAGAAATCACCCCCCAGGGGGATGACCACTCTGCAATCTCTTCTCCTCCATTCTCCTCTTGGGATTTTGGGCACACATGCACACATGCCCAGCATGAATTTTAAGGTGCCAGGTCTGGAACTTGAACCACAGGAGTTCAGCGACATAACCATTACGCCATCTACTGGTCCCTTTCTCAGGTTTCTAAGGCAGTAACAACTGATTCTATTACTACTCTCAAGTATCTCTCACACACATAATTTCTGAATATTCAGGAAACAATAGAGGAATAATAATAAATACACTTCATTTATTCCTCTCATGAGGTGTTTAAACCGCAAGAGGATAAGAGGAGAGCCACAGGACAAAGTCTATGTCGTTTTCACAGAATCCCAAAGCAGGAGACATAAGCCCACCAAGTAGCCAGAGAGGAGCCAACGCTTTCAGATTGCCTTCGCTATTCACACTGAATGATGTGTTTGCTTTTTTGCTATAGGGTGAGTATGCTCATCAGAGAGACAGACAGAAAGTAAGAAATCACCCCCCAGGGGGATGACCACTCTGCAATCTCTTCTCCTCCATTCTCCTCTTGGGATTTTGGGCACACATGCACACATGCCCAGCATGAATTTTAAGGTGCCAGGTCTGGAACTTGAACCACAGGAGTTCAGCGACATAACCATTACGCCATCTACTGGTCCCTTTCTCAGGTTTCTAAGGCAGTAACAACTGATTCTATTACTACTCTCAAGTATCTCTCACACACATAATTTCTGAATATTCAGGAAACAATAGAGGAATAATAATAAATACACTTCATTTATTCCTCTCATGAGGTGTTTAAACCGCAAGAGGATAAGAGGAGAGCCACAGGACAAAGTCTATGTCGTTTTCACAGAATCCCAAAGCAGGAGACATAAGCCCACCAAGTAGCCAGAGAGGAGCCAACGCTTTCAGATTGCCTTCGCTATTCACACTGAATGATGTGTTTGAAGGAAAATGTAAACTTTCCCTTACTTCATGACATAAATACAAGTCTAAAGTTGCAGATAAATCCAACGATATTTAAAATGTATTTCAAATAATCTATGCACTATCATTCTAGTTATGAATGGTTATCAGAAAAAAAGTAAGTGATGGCATGAATTATTATCACGCCATAGCTCGAAAACTCGGTTCAACTTACTAGCCACAAAAGGCTCAAATATTTTCAAAAAGCTTTGCAAAATGGATCTCCTATAACATACCTCAGGCCAAACTCCTGTTTTATACACAAATCATCCTAACTGAAGAAAATATAAACAGGTAATCACAGACTTCCAACATTTCTGGAAGCTCACTACAAAAGACTATGTTACACATCAGGGACTGGCAAGCTTTTTCTGTAAAGAGTCATACAGTGTTTTGAGTTTTGTAGACCATATGAGCTCATTGGAACTACTCACTTCTGCTGTCAAAACATGAAAGTGGACCCAGACAATATGTAAATGTGTGAGCATGGCTGAGTACCAATAAAACTTTATTTATAAAAACAGGCCCATGGGGCACAGTTTGCCAGCTCTTTCTACAGAAAATCATTTCACCAAGCCTGGCTTTCATATTAAAAGGACAGCACATCTAGAATGTATTACTAAAATACACTGGGGGTTTCCACTTACCTGTGACCCAATGGTTTCCTGGAAGCACCGGCCAAGCTGCGTTTTAGCAGCCACAGGATAGATGTGAGGAATGACCTGCTGGTGAGAGTATGTGGAATGTATGGTTTGGGTCTTCTGGACAGGATGGCCTTGGTAAGAGACTTGGGACTGGCTGGGTTGAGATTCTTTTACTTTCTGGCCTGTTGGGCCATCAATTCTTGAAACCTGATGTATCTGGACTGAAGCCTCAGGAGGATGTTTCACATGGATATTGACTATGTTGGGAGGAAATTTCACTAAAACAAATGGGGAAGAATACTTGTTAGCCCTAAATAATTAACAGGCAAGCCAGGAACTTTAAAGCATGAAGTAAACTGTATGCACACACATATGTAGTGATAGGCATATGTACAACACATGGGATAATTTATACATAAACACCATGTATAGTTATATTACACAACCTTGGATTCTTTTCTGAATTATTTATTTATTTTTATCTAGAGAGGTTTTTCCGATAGGGTGCATGCACTTGCCAGAAAGAGAAAGAGAGAGACAGAGAGATAGAAACCGAGAAATCACCCCCCACAGGGATGGCCACACCACAATCCCTTCTCCTCCAGTCTCCTCTCGGGATCTTGGGCATGCATGCACACACGCCCGGTGCGAATTTAAGCCACCAGGTCTGGGACTAGAACGACGGTCGACTACATGGGAGTCCAACAGCATAGCCATTACGCCAACTGCTGGTCCCCTGAATTATTTTTGATATAATAATTGTACATATTTATGGGGTTCAGTGGAATTGTGAATTACATGAACACGATATGTAATGATCAAATTAAGGTAATTAGCATATCTATTATCACAAATATTTATCACTGATTGGTATTGGGGACATTCAAAATTCTTTTAGCTGTTTTGAAATACAAATCATTGTTAACTATAGCTACCTTACTCTGCTAGAACAGTTTAGAACTCAATCCTTTTACCTAACTGCAATTCTGTATCCCTTAACTGAACTCTGTCTCTACTCCCTATGCTCACCACTTTTCCCAACATTTTTTAAAGAATTATTTCTTAGGAACCAGCATTTAGCATAATGGCTATGTCGCTGGTCTCCCACGTAGTCGATCGTGGTTTGCGTCCCGGACCCGGTGGCTTAAAACTCACGCTGGGCGCGTGTGTGTACATGCCCAAGATCCCGAGAGGAGAATGAAGGAGAAGGGATTGTGGCGTGGCCATCCCCCCTGGGGGGTGATTTCTTGCTTTCTGTCTCTATGTCTCTCTCTGTTTGGTGAGCGCACGCGCCCTATAGCGAAAACCTCTCAAAAAAAAAAAGAAGAATTATTTCTTTAATTTTATTTATTATTATTTAATTTACTATAGGGCATGTGCACTCCCTGGAGAGAGGCAGAGAGAGAGACAGACAGACAGACAGACAGAGTGAAAAATCAAGCCACCAGGTCCAGTACTAGAACCATGGTCACCCTTGTGGAAGTTTAGCATCTTAACCACCACCCCACCTGCTGGCTCCTCTTTCCCAATTTCTAGCAACCACTATTCTCCTCTTCAAGTTTTGAGTTTTCACAAATGAGTGACAACATGTGATTATTTTTCAAAATTCTTGAGAATAAAAAGGTACCCTTTTTCTAGTACATGTGCCTTATCTATTCTATTTGTTCCTTCAAGAAGAAGGAACATGTCTCGTGAAGTTTACATTTCCTACAATGCCAAGCATGAAGGTAGAGGCTCAGTAGCTATTTAAAAGTATAGTTTAGTGGGAACCAGCAGTTAGCATAATGGCTATGTCACTGGACTCCCACGTGGTTGACCGTGGTTCGTGTCCCGGACCCGGTGGCTTAAAACTCACGCCGGGCATGTGTGTGTGTGCCCAAGATCC